TGTCTTCTCACTGCCCTGGCCGGGTCCTCTCTCAGTTTGGAAATGTCCCTTAAATGCCACTGTGAGGCCACGGCCCTGGGGACTGTGGCCCCAAGGTGGGCAGTTCTGGAAAGAGGGGGATAAGGGGCAGGTCTGAGATGAACGGCCTCAGTGACCCCTTCTGTCCTTTGGAGCCCTGGAGCAAAATGGAGACTGCTGTCCTCCAGAATTGACCGGGTCTGGGAGGGAAACTGTTTCCAGGGAGCCAGACAGCTCCCAGGCAACGCAGTGCGGGTCACAGCCCAGGGAGGTTACCTTTCGGACCCGAGGCTTCTACTCCAGGGGAGGCCGAGGGGAAGAGGAAGAAGTTAGAGGAGAAAGAGCAAGAGGGACCGGGATCAATGAAACCACAGAAGCAGAGAGAGGGAGAGAGAGGTGGGGCCACTGGAATTAGAATCCGCACGGAACAGAAGCTCCGTTTCCGCTGTGTTAATAATTTATCCCCGCTGCAACTTTTCTTACCAATAAATAGGAAATAACTTGTTAGGGAGAATTCCCCCGGCCCCAAGGCTCCCTCCCTTGAGGCGGAGGAAGGTGTGTATCATCCTTTCTCCCAACAGCCTGGAAGGTGCGGAGTTACATCAAAGCTGAAGACCTTAGGATGTTGGGTCAGAGCTGCTCGGCCCACTCCTGCTTGGCCATTTCAAGAAGAGGGAAACTGAGGCACAGACAGCTCAAGGCCCGGCCAGAGTCACCTGAGACGTTGCTGGGTTCTAATCCATGGCTTTGTGGGTTGGGTGCTCATTATTGATTTCCATGCTGTCCTGGAAGCTTCCTTTTGTTTCCAGGACTGGGGACTGAACCCAAGGCCTTTGCACTGAGCTATATCCCTGGCTCTTTTTTTGTTTTTTATTTTGAGACAGGGTCTCACTCAGCCACTAAGTTGTCCAGACCAGATTCAAACTTGGCAACCTTCCTGCCTCAGCCTCCCAGAGTGCTGAAATGACAGGCGTGCACCTCGATTCCAAACCCCAAGATGCTATGAGTATCCGGCTCTGACTGCTGAAGCCACAGGGCCGGGTGGTAGCCGGCACCCTGAGCAGTCTGTATGCAGGTGCTGGCCACATAGGACCCAGGGCCAGGGTTACTGGGCTCCTGGGACCCTTGTTCGTCCCACAAAAATATCCCGCGTCCCTGCAGGGTGCAGGGGCTGAGCTGGAGGTGGGCAGAGGTGCTATTGTGGGGAGTGTACCCTCCGATTGAGAAGCCAAGACCAAATATCTTTTCCTTAGCTGTCCCTTGTTCATGACTGAGGCCAGACAAAAGAGAGATTAGCAAGACAAAAGCACACAGATGACTTTAGCAGCAGCTTTGCCGACTTGAGAGCCTTTGTAGAGAATTCGGACCCAAAGACAGTGGTTCGTCTGTGTGTTTCTGCTAGGTTTGGTGGACACACGTGTCGTCCTGCAGATGTCCGATTGGATTAAATAAGTCTGAACCAGGGCATGGTGGTGCACACCTGTAACCCCAGCACTCCGGGAGGCTGAGGCAGAGGATTGCAAGTTTAAGTCCAGCCTGGGCAACTCCGTGCGTTAGTGAGATTCTGCCTCAAAAAAATGGTGGGGGGAGGCAGGGATTTAGCTCAGTGGTGCTGTGCCTGCCTTACAAGCGAAAGTTCTTGAGTTGGATCCCCAGTACCAAAAAAACAATGTTGGGGGGCAGGACAGGCATGGAGCTCAGTGTGAAGGCCTTGGGTTCAATCCCCAGTACCAGAAAGGAGGGAGGGAGGGAGGGAGGGAGGGAGGGAAGGCTGAGCAAGCAAATGGTCAGGCAGCGGTCACTCGGCAAGGCCTGGTGTCCAGACTCCTGGCCCGCAGCTCGGAGATGAACAAGTTTTTTTCCTCCAGCCAAGCAAGGCCCTTGTGGAGTGAGGGTCTACGACCTGCCCTGGGGAGACAGGCAGGGAAGGTCAGAGAGCAGCCTTCCTGCTTCTGTGGGCTCTCAAATTCCTTCAGCTTGAAATATTTGGGGCAGCATGACCTGAACCCCACCTGGCTAGAAGAGCTTGAAGGACTCGCCCACACGGGGGAGCTGCTGAGCACGGTCCCGAGGCCCAGGGCCACTCAGGTCGCCTGCCTTTCCCGAGCCTCCACTGCAGCTCCGATGGTCAGGGAGCAGCGGTCCCCACAGCTGGCTGGGCCTCTGGCTCCCTCAGCTCGGAAGGTAGCCAGAGAGGAGAGTGGTAAAGCCGCCAAGGTGCTGCATACAGTCTCTCCGCTAGGGCGTCAACTGCCTGTGTCCCGAAGGACTCTGTCCCCGCCCCGTTCCCTGGTCCAGGTGGTCCAGACACCTTGCAGGGGTCTTGCCTCTGAGTGTCCCCAGAGCCAGATGGGCTCAGTTCTGAGACCCCTAGGCTGAGTCCCATGGCATCCAGGGGTAGTGACAAGGGATATTGCATACCCAGCTCCCCATCTGCACGGGGAGGAAACAGACGCCTCCCGCCCGGAGGTGGCCAGGATTGGATACAGGCGCCCAGCCCAGCCCTGGCACATGGATGGCACTCAGTGAACCTACGTCACACCTTCGTCACCCTCCCTCCTAAGCTCAAAGGTGTGAAGCTGCTGTTTACAAAAATTGCTACAAGCTGGTACACGCCTGTAATCCCAGCACTCTGGGAGGCTGAGGCAGGAGGACTGCAAGTTCAGATCCAGCCTTGGCAATTTAAGGACCTGCAGACCCTACCTCAAAATACAGAATTAAAAAGGGCTAAGGATGTAGCCAGATGTAAAGGGCCTGGGTTCAAGCCCTAGTGACACACACATGCGCGCGCACACAGAGTTGCTACCACTGGGGACATTTCTGGGTATTCCATTCCTTTCAACTCACATGACATTGGGTGAGGAAACAGGCTCAGAAAAGCCTCCCCTCCCAGGGTCGAGCTGAGATGGAACTCAGGGTGCTCAGAGCTGGACTCAGACAGGGGTCCAGACCAGGGACATGGGACCAGTTATACGGGAAGTGGGTTTCTGCATTTTTCTGCAGAAAATTCTAAGACTTTTAATCGGCATTTTCGTATTTCTCATGCAACGGCTGACGAAGGGATTGCTGTCACGGGTGGGCTCTGGCACCGTCCGGAACGTGCCAGTGTGTGGCCTACACACCCGTGACTCACACCTGCGTCCGGGCTCGATTTTGCCGTCGTTTGCGCCTGCGGTGCGGTCACTGACCTGGAGCTGGGTGGGAAGGCGCAGACCCAGGAGGTGGAGAGCCACCCCTCACACATTGTCCCCTGCTGTTGGCGCTGGCGGCGGGGTTGGGGCGAACTGGGCTTCGTCCCCAGCGAAGGCCGGAGGACAGCAGAGGGAGAGCAGATGCTGGGCTGGTGCGGGGTCGCCGCTCAGGGTGGACACAGGTGCTCCAGAATGGCTCATGGCACCCTGGGACCGCGGTGGGCCCGGGGTCGTGGGGAAGGAATGGAGGAACGGGCGCGGCGGTGAGTGCTCAGGCCGATTCTTTAGTCTCTGACCACCTGCTTCCCGGGGGCTGGGCGGGTGGCCGGCCCTGCAGGTCAGGGCGGAGCCCTGTCCCTGAGACAGACAGGCTGGGAGGGGCCCTGCGTCCCCGCAGCCCGGGGACCACCAGGAGGCTGGGTGGGCGGGGCGGGAAGGCAGGGGCCGGAAGAGGAGGGACCGGGAGGGGCCGAGGTCTGGGTGGGTCCCGGCAGTGGGGCTGATGGGATATCGGCGCTCAGTGGGATACCCGCGTAACCGCCGTCGTAGTCATGCGTATCTCTTTTAAAAGTAAATTTTATTTTATCCCATCCCCCGCAAGCGATTCATGGGTATCTTAATTTTTACTTTCATTAGTCTATATTTGCAGGACACGGTGACCACACTCGTCGTGGGAGCTGGTGCGTGTACAGGACACGTCTTCACCCCTCCTACACCCCTGCCCCGCCCGCCTCCCCTCCTTCCATCTCGCCCCCTTTCCCATTTGCAAAAGATCAATCTCACTGTTTCCTAGTATCTATTTTTTATTTTGCTCTTTAATTTATTTATACTCTGGGTTTCTCTTGTACGAGAAACTGCTCGATATTTAAGCTTGTGTGTCTGATGTATTTCACTGGACATGACGGTCTCAAGGTGTGTCCATTTTCCTACAGATGACTCGTTTATCCTCCTTGGTAGCAGAGTAGTACTCCGTAGTGCATAAATAACACATTACGAACAGGCCATCAATATGATGATAATAATAACTATAATCCAGTGGGATTACTGAGGAGAGAAGGCTGAGGAGACAGAGGTGGAAACATAGGAGGAGGAGGAAGAGCAGATTCGTTCTCAGAAGCATTGCCCACTCTCCAGAGGGGCTGGGTCAGTCCTGCCATCGTGGGCCTCATTTTCCCCATCTGCTCATGGAGGGCCGGGATGAGAGCCTGTGTTCATTGCACCCCAAGGTCTGCCAGCCCCGTGACCAACGCGCTGGCTGGGGGGGGGGGGGGCCGAGGGCACCGCAGGCCAGGGAGGACAGAGCTATTTCGGTCGAGGAGGACTTTGTGTTTCCGGCCTCTGCGAACCCCGGGCTGGCCCTGCCCTCCGAGGGGCCTGGGCTGTGTGGGGGCCTGTCCTGCTCCCCAGAGGATCAAAGCTACGGCCTGAGGCGGACCGCAGTATGGCCTGCGGGGCCCGCAGGGTGGTGGCTGGGCCCTGCATCCACTCCCCGAGGGGGCGCGGGGCTCATTGGAGAGTAAAAGGTTTTTAACTCAGACCTAAGCCTTTTTGTCTCTGAACAAGCCAGACATCAAAGGGCTGGGAACCGTCTGGGGCCCGGTGGTTACTACCGCTGTTTGGTTGTGATTTTTATTTTTAATTAATAGAGTTTATTACCTACAGAAGTCTTAGCTCTGCAGATAATTGAGTCGGTGGTGCAGACAGCGCCCGTCCCTCGGCCTCCCTGCTGGGACAGCCGGACACCGGGCCTCAGTGCGCACCGGGGCCCATCCTTCCCTCCCTCCCCTGCAGGAGAACCCCTACCTGTGCAGCAACGAGTGTGATGCCTCCAACCCCGACCTGGCGCACCCGCCGCGGCTCATGTTCGACCGGGAGGGCGAGGGCCTGGCCACCTACTGGCAGAGCGTGACCTGGAGCCGCTACCCCAGCCCGCTGGAGGCCAACATCACGCTGTCGTGGAACAAGAGCGTGGAGCTGACCGACGACGTGGTGATGACCTTCGAGTATGGCCGGCCCACGGCTATGGTCCTGGAGAAGTCGCTGGACAATGGGCGCACGTGGCAGCCCTACCAGTTCTACGCCGAGGACTGCATGGAGGCCTTCCGCATGGCCGCGCGCCGCGCCCGCGACATGTCCTCGTCCAGCGCCCACCGCGTGCTGTGCACCGAGGAGTACTCGCGCTGGGCCGGCTCCAAGAAGGAGAAGCACGTGCGCTTCGAGGTGCGGGACCGCTTCGCCATCTTCGCGGGCCCTGACCTGCGCAACATGGACAATCTGTACACGCGGCTGGAGAGCGCCAAGGGCCTCAAGGACTTCTTCACGCTCACCGACCTGCGCCTGCGCCTGCTGCGGCCCGCGCTGGGCGGCACCTACGTGCAGCGCGAGAACCTGTACAAGTACTTCTACGCCATCTCCAACATCGAGGTCATCGGCAGGTAAGGTCGCGGGGCGGGGCCGGGCGGGGCTGTCACTGGCTGCCCAGGACGCTGTCTGACGCCAGGAGGTCGCCCAGTCCCGGGTGTCACTCAGGCTCTGGAGCGTCACCTTGCTCCTGGTGTTGCCTGGTTCCGAGGCTGTCGCCCTGGGTGACATCAGAGCGACCCCTGTGTCAAGGGGGGCTGTGCAGACAGCTGCCCGGGCTGTTTCTCGGGGATGGTGCTTGTGTGGATGGTGAACGTCCTCACAGGGCCCAGGGCCAGGGCAGGTTCCCACTGACCGGGAGCTTTGTGTCCAGGGGTCCTGAAGACCACCTCGGGCTCACGATTCACCAGAAGGACAGAGCTGGCCAAGCTGTGTGCTCACAGTGCTGCCTTAGGACAGCGAAAGGCTGCAGCCTAAGACAGAAACAGAACTGTGCCCAGGGCAGGACCGGAAGCCGCTGGAAGCGAGCTCTCAGCTGCCATCTCCCAGGGAGGCACTGCCTTCTCCTATGGGTGACTCCCTGGTCCTGCACTGTCCAGGATTGTGTGTCCACTTGGCAGGTGCCACATTGATGTCCAGGGCAGGGGCCGCGTCCCTGGGCCGTCCGTCCAGTGAGGGTGCTGACTTCTGGCCAGGGTCTGATTTGCAGCTGGGCTCTGAGGAGCTGGCTGTCAAGGTGCTCAGAATGGTGTCAGGCGTGAAAAGTGATGAATAAAATCCTTACTGGGCAAAATCATGGCATGAGAGGGCAGGCACAGGCTGAGGGGGCACAGTGCTGGGTGTCACTGCTTAATTGGGGCCAGGAGTGTGGCTTTAGCAGGAGCCTGGGCCTGCGCATGTCTCCTCAGTGGGCTCGAGTTCTGCCCAAGTGTGCGATTCCTGACAAGTGGAAAGAGCAGCTTGCAGCATGATGTGTGTGGCACAATCCTGTTTTGTAAACTGTACGACATGCCTGTGTGTATCCCTTCATTCTGACATCGTGTACAGACTGGAAAGAAAGGTGCAAGCTCAGGAGAAGCACCGGGCCAGGTGGGGGACACTAGGAGCCCATTCACTCGCAGTTGGCTGGCAGCTGGCGGCCCCGGGGGGTGGGCAGGCCAGGAGGGCGCTGTGGCTTTCCGGTGTGCTTGCATCTCCTTCCACTCTGACAGCGAGCGGGTGTGGATTCTGGTGGACAGAGGCCGGCGAGTTATCAGGAAGGGGTGTCAGGTTCCAGGCTGGCAGCTGCAGAAGAGCAGGTGCACGCCGGCCAGGTTTGGGCGCCTGTGATCTCTAATCCTCCTCCCACGGGGACAGCATCTGGAAGTCAGGGGTGCTCTGGGTCACCTGCTATCTGAGCACTGCCGTGGAAGCCAGGGGCTGAGGGGGCCCCAGGTCTCCCCAGGGTCGAGGGCTGTGTTCTGACTCCTGAGGCTGCCACAGGGGACTTCATCTTCATCCTACACTTCAGCAGCAGCTCCTGAGGGGTTCTGATGTCTGGGCGGGGTTCGGGGTTCAGGCTGGGATGGTGACAGTTTAAGGCCCAGTAGGACGACAGTCGTCTCTCTGGTCACTGGGGTTCAGGGCCCCTCCCTCTGTGCCCCTCTCCAGGCCTTGGTTTTCTGTCTGTGACAACAGGACTGGGCTACCCAGAGCCCACATCTCCCTGCACTTTGTCGGCATGCTCCCTGCCAGGCAGCCCGCACGGCTGGACACCCTGGTTCCATGGCAGAGGGGATTAGCTGTGGGGGGAATCTGGTCAGAGAATAAGGGCTCCTTAGGCAGCTGGTTGGCAGGGAAGCAGCAGCTTGGTTGTGGATTAATTGGGCCTGGTTAGGTGGTTCTGCAAAGGGCTGTCACTGCCTCCGCTTGCCCTTCCTCAGTTCCTTAGGAGTTCAGCTGTGACCGGAGCCAGAGGCGCCTCAAGAGGCAGCACCCAATGGCAAGGGGGTGTGGGGACGGACGGATGGTGCCCTTCACAGGGTGTTGTCCAATGGGAAAGCTCACGGCTGAACGAAATGACAGCCGAGATCCAAAGCCACGCGTGTTCAGCTCCGACTGCCCTCACCTGCAGAGCAGTTTCTAGGCTGGGCGATCTCCCGGCCTCCTCCCGGAAACCCTGAGTCTTTGATTCAGTGGCAGCTGCCTGCTCTGCCACAGGTAGCAGCTATTCAGTTCAAAGGGGAACCCAGCTGGCAGGGGGAGGCCAGAAGGGGTCAGCGACTTGTACAAATCAGGGGACAGGTGGGGGGACAGTGCTGCAGGAGAAGGAGGTCAGCGCTGGTGGCCGGCCGGAGGGAACCCAACTGCAGGACTTCCGGCCGCCTCCCCCCCGCCCAGCCCATTCCCGGAAGTCAGGGAGGGTGCAGGGCTGTTTTCTCCCTCTGCACTGGGGTGCTCAGGTGCAGAGCTGGCTTTCAACCGACCTCAGAGAATCTAGGGCGAAGTCAGGACTTGAGGAGGGAGGAGACGGAGCCCTCACCCGGCACAGGGTGCAGAGCAGCCAGGCCTCAGCTGGCAGGCAACTCGTGGGAGAGCTTTTAAGACAGGACTCCCCACTCATCACTGAAGGCTGGGGTCGGGCAGCACCTGCAGAATGCCTCCATGGAGCTGGGGTGGAGCTCCCAGGGGGTGGAGCTCCCAGGGGGCGGAGCTGGGTGATTGCCATCTGGCCAGCCTCGGTTTGCTCATCTGCAAAACAGAGAAGCAGCACCAACCTCACCAGCTTCCTGTGAGGGGTCAGTGAAGTGGTGGATCTGTAGGGCTAATCCCGGGGCCCCTTCCCCGGCTTAGATGGCTGCCCAGAGCTGCTCACCAGCTCCGAATGTTTCAGGGCCGTCCTGCGGCTTCGATATCACACGTTCAGCAGGCCCGCAGGGCTGACCGCCGGGACCCACCCGCTCCAGGCCTGGGAGCTAGAAGAAGGAGGGCAGGCGGGGATCGCCTCCCTCATCCCAGCCCCTGCCCTGAAGGCGCTTCCCTCTGCCTGAGAAAACTTGGGGAGGCTCCCAGGAACCAGTCCGATGGGCCCAGCCGGGGGTAGGAAACAGGAAGTGAGCTCCCTGTTGCTGGAAGCATTCAAGCCGGGCAGGGTGGCACTTGTGGGAGCTGATGCGGAGTAGCCCTGTGCACCAGATGAAGGTAGCGGTGGTGAATTGGGTGAGCAGAAGGAACCCCAGGTGCTGAGCCTCGTGTGTCCTGGGCTGGGCATCCCAGCCTGCCCTCTCCCTCAGCAGAGAGGGAAGAGATCTGCTGGCCGGACTTCCGGCTCCCCAGGCCCTGGCGTCCTTCTCGTAATCGTCCGGTTCATAGTGATTGCTGGTAGCTGAGGATAGGCTGAGCCGGCCGAGAACAGAAACAGAACCAGAGGCCAGAGAAGCTTGGCAGAGGGTGGGTGGAGCATGAGGTGCCTGTCCGTGTCCCTGTCCACAGCTTTGTGGAGTGGTCCCCCGCAGTGGGGGCTGTGTGACTCTGGAGGGCGGGGCTCCTGCTGCAGAAGCGGCCAGGGCTCCGTGAGAGTCCTTTCTGAGCACTGAGTCCTACCCAGTGAGGATCCTTGTCCCCACTGCACAGATGGGGAAACTGAGGCCGGGAGGAGAAGAAATAGATGGGTGCTTGGCATCAGAAAGACAGAAAAAGTGTTGGTGAGGACTTGGAGAAATGTGGGTGTGCATTGCTGGTGGGAATGTAAAATGGGGCGGCCACTTTGGTGAACAGCACGGGGCTTCCCGGGGAAGTTGAGATTACCGTAGGACTAATCCATCAATTCTCCTTCTTCTTCTTCTTCTTTTTTTTTTTTTTGGTACCGGGGAGCAAACTCGGGTCCTTGTGCTTGCGCAGCAGGCGACGAAACCATTGAGCTAAATCCTCAGCCCCCTTCTTCTGTAGCTATACCCAAAATAATTGAAGGCAGGGACTTGAGGCGCATCCCATGTTTCTGGCAGCATTATTCAGAAGAGCCAGGAGGTGGGAACTACCCAGATATCCACTGATAAATGGACAAATCAAATGTGGTGTGTACACACCATGGAATATTACTCACTCCTAAAAAGGAGAGACTCTGCCACATGCTTTGACGTGCAGAAACCCTGAAGGCATCATAGGCAGTGAAAGAAGTCGATGTGCAAAAAGACAACCACACAGTTCCATTTATATGAGGTCCTTAGGGTTGTCACATTCATGCAAACAGAAAGCAGGGCCTGGGGATGGGGACAACAGGGTTAGTGTCTACTGAGGACAGTTTCTGTGTGGTATGAGGGAGGGATTTGGAAATGGATAATAGTGGTGTTTGTGCAGTGCTGTGGAATACCCAATGGTACCAACTCTACTTCACCATGGTGGGATGGCAAATTTTATGTTTTGTAGATTTTTCCATTTTTAAAGTGGGCGGTGGATGGATGGGCTCCGAGGGGACTGTCAGGTGGAAATCGTGGCCCAGCGTGACCCTGGACACGTTTCCTAGCCTGTCCAAGTTCCTTCCCACCTCCCTAAAGGGAGCCTGGGCCCAAGAGGCTTTGCGGGCCCCTCCCTGCAGGGCCCAGACCTTCGGAGCCCTGGCCTTCGGTCAGCAGTGCTGTCCTTGCTGTGCCGAAGGAGGCCTGGCCCATGGCTCTCAGGAGCAGTGGTCTGCAGGCTCCCGGAAGTGGTGCCAGGCATTTGTGTGTGGTCCAAGGGGAAGAGTGCGAAACTCTGTTTTGTTCTCAAAGGGTCCTGTGGTCCCCAAACATGTGGAAAGTCCTAGCAAGGCAGCTTCAAGCCTCCTGAACTACTGCTTCCATCAAAGAGCCATGTGTGAGCCAGGCGTGGTGGTGCACACCTTTGACCCAGCGTGCAGGAGGCTGAGGCAGGAGGATCGCTGCTTGAGGCCTGCCTGGGCTACATAGTGAGACTCTGTCTCCAAAAGAAAAGCGAAGAGCGGAGCCTGACTTTGGTCCATCTGCTGAGAGAGCTAGAGGCGGAAGTGGACAGGAACAGTACTGGGATTTGTCCACGGCCTGGGAAGTGTGAGAAGCGAGTGTAGAATCGCCATGTCGCA